CCTGATTTTGATGACGTTCAGTGTCTTGTGTTTTCTAACCATTGGCAAGCAACTCACATGAAAAGGGTGGGAATGGATGGAGGTTCCATTCCGACCTCCTTTGCGTGCTGGTTATACTGTCGGGCCCGATTAGCAGGGCCTCGATTCAATAGCTGAAGCCATATGTCCAAGAGCGGGCTCATCCTTACATTCAATCCGATACAGCGAATAGTTCCAACCTCATGTTGAGCCAGGGGTGATAGGATTCTACCAATATATTCTGTCCTTCTTGTTTTAACCCCCGGGTTCAGAACTGAAAGTCCAGAGAATACATCAACCACGACATCTTGTCCCTGGCGTAAAGCTATTCCGATATCAAGGTCATCTTTCACGGGCTGGCCGATGAGAATTTGAGCAGAGTCTTTTCCCACAAAACGCACGAGGCCTTTCATTAAGGGTCAGCACGGGAGTAGCTTCCATGCATATATATGATGAACTTACGTTTGAAACCAGCTGCCAATTCCATGCTGCTTGTCTATGAGCTGACTTTCCTTCCCGATGCAAGTTTTGCCAAACCCCAGTATCAGAAATGCTCAAACTTATTCCTTCACTTGAGGCTATTACCTACCAGCCAGCTACACGCCGCTACGTGCTATCTCTACGTTCTTCACATAGGGAGCTCCGTCAATATCGCTACGAGTTGTGGCCAATCGGGTTTCGTGTTTCGGTTTGTGGAGCAAATTGATGGAGGAGCTCCTCCGAGATTGGGGAGAGCTATCATTGGGGCTTCGTTCCACCGGAAAATCCACATCAAGGATTCATCCCCTTCCAAACAAGAACTTGTGGGGGGATTAATGAGCGCCAGAAGCTTGGTGTCGTTTGCTCAGGTGTTCCTGCTTGGCTATCAAGGCTACTTGGTTCACCAAAATGGTGTCCCGGCTCGGGATTCACGATCGGAACAGATTAATTCGCCCTGGATACTCAAGGGGATTGGTCATATCATGTTACTGTGTTGAGAACCAAAGTTAAGAAGAAAAAAAATGCAATGCTAAACCTCACAAGTTCTGAAATACTACGCATAGTACGCCAACGGTAGAGAAACAAATCAACAATCAACGACGAGACTTAATTTCGAACAAGCAAACACTCACAATGCCTGGACTCTTACAAACCTCAAAACAAAACATAACTTCCCTGACAATTTCCCCTTCTACTAGCCTTTGTTCGATTAATGCCCCAGTTCTCATCGTAGGCGCTGGCCCAGTCGGGCTACTGACGGCATACATGCTCTCAAGATATGGCCGTAGGTACACAACCAATGCAAAGTGAATTCACATCTCATCGAAGAGATTAATTCATGATCTTACCAGACAGGAAATGATTGCTGCGGAAATTGAGGGTCAGAGAGAACATCTCGATAATATGTTGGATCATGCATCCTATACCGACCTCAACCACTAATGGCCACTGCAAGCTGTGGTATCATACCAGCTATGTCGACAACAGCTCTACAAAAGAAAAGTTGGAAGCACGTCAGACTTTATACCGAAATTCACTGCCGGTGCTCGCCTGTCGCATGATTGGATCAAACCCCGTAATACCGAGGCAGTCGTAGGTCGGGCGAATGGTGTTCTTGAGCTTCGCTCGCTTGATAGAGATTCCGACTTTATATATGGTACAGAAAAGAAGCTTTTCGATGATAAAGCGTATTTGTCTCTTGGTAGATCCTTGATGGTACGTTCAAATCAACATCTATTGGGTAGGCTATCCTCATTCAACACAGCCGGAGAACTTGCTGCAATTGTAAGCAGCCACCTCAGACTAAAGATATACCTCTTCGTCATCGATGCATACTTTTCCAACATATCAATATATCTTCGTTCATCGGCATATCTCTCGTAGAAAGTGGTGTAAATTTCAAGTTTCCCTAGACCCAGCAGGCAGCAAAGTCGTGCCACATGGAACTCGGACTACGCAGAAGCGGATTCTTGAGGCTCTCTGCAAGATTTCTTGAAACACATAATGACTAGAACGCAATATCTGTCATCTTCCAAAAACAATTTGCTCTATCACATAATCCTCATGTCTGCAGCAACACTTTGTGAGGTATCAGGCGCCACATGCTACTGACCCCATCTCAAGCTCTTCATATATGGAAGGAGTGCTAGAGCCAGAAGCCATGGAGCCCACAGTCGATACGACAGCCGATCTCCGGCCCTTGTCCTGATACCGACCATGATCGAGATCAATGTCAATCCCAAGCCTGCCATCAATACCCCGTCCATCCAATTATCCCAAAACCAGCAGCCAAACGCTGACCAAAATGCGACGGCAAGGGCGACAAATAGTCTAGCATTCATCTCGCCCATCAACATCGGTATAGTTCTCTTTCCAGCAACCGCGTCTCCCTCCATATCTCTGAGGTCCTGGACGTGGATGGTGCATGTAATGGCCATCGCAATCACACCTAGCCAACTCGCCGCAATGGCTTGTCCGCTAAATATGGAATTCGCAGTGGCGATTTCAAGGGGCCCTGCTAGGAACGCTGTGATTCCCATGCCATTGTGGATGTTCTTGAGGAAGCCTCCTGATTGATCTTGAAACTCATTGTTCCAAACAGAAAAAGTAGTGATCACGGCCAGAGGAACCAACCCCCCAACGGCCAATGATACAATCAAGTTTAACGGATATAAACACAAAAGAACCACTGTTGCCTGTTCTGAAGTGAGCCGGCCTGAAGGAATCGGTCGCCATGGTTTATTGACCGCGTCCTCTTCCACCGAATGACGGTGTCGCTGATTATGGATATTGAACAGCAAGAGACCGCTCCATGACCATATTATCATCTGTGGTGCTCTCATAAGAATGGGTATGGAGCATGGGGGGTCGCCCATTGATAACAAGGGTGCTGCTTGTGAAGCGAGCAGTGCAAATATGAAAGGTGCCATAACAATTGCTTCTAGATCGCTGCAGCTGAATAGGTACGCCGTGTGCAGATGATACACGATCTTCGCAGGGAGTTTTCGCGAACAAAGAGCTGTTTTTGGTGACGAGGTCTTCATGGCTTGTAAATTATTTTACTTCATCAAGTCTTTACTGAACGTAATTTCGTCAAACAGTCTCTAGACCAAGACAGACGTATTTATCTACCTAGTTCTATAGTTGTCGATTTCTTCAAGGTACATTGAAGCCCTGATTTCCAATCATTCAGCTTGAGCTGAATAATTACAAGTTGGCTGTAATGCGAACTTCTGTAGGCTGTACAACATCAAACCCTCGCGCCTCTACGGCCTCCGCGGCCTCCCTGAACGTCGATATACAAGCCAGAAGATTGTTTTCCAATTTGGGTTTGGTTGACTGATCGTTGCAAGTTAATTCTGGATTAAGACAATGCCAACCCAGGATAGAGTTCGCCTATTTTGCGTGGTGTCGGGGCAGCCGATGCAGGATTGCCCAAAGCAGAGATCGCAATATTATCACGCGGACTCCACTACGAATCAATAACATTCTCTCAAAGCTTGTTATTCATTGTTGTTGATTATTAATTGCAGTCACAGAAGCCCAGTTGTAGGGACTTATGATATGTGTTACTCGCTTAACAGCAGAAGGTAGTCTAATTCGCCTGATCAACAACATTCTAACTACAAATTTTCTCTGGCGAACCCTTTTTAAGAAAGAGATAATCCATTTTCAATACTCACATTACTTAGTGCCGAGAAATCATTCTTTTCCATCGGCGCGGTTGCGGGGAGACTGAATTTGGACCGAATCGGGCCCATCCTCACTCCTGCAGCTCATCATCTTGTAGCCCAGTGTTCCTCACAGACACACATTCCGGGCTGTGATACTGTAAAGTGTATTCTAGACCAAACACTGAATGGAACAGAAAAATTTTAGAATAATTACCCCACCAGAACGGGCCCAGGTAAAGCGGCCACGTAGAACAAGATTCACCTTCGCAAATAGCATGTCAGCCGTGACATTCATATGAGGAAGTGAGGGCAAAGTTTCCGGGATTTCCCAGCTCAGCACGTCAGATTTGGGACCCTATTCATCCCTAGTACGCCATCTCATGACGTGTACATCTCTTGGCTTTGTCTCTTACCAAATCCAGCCGTAGGGCTATTGCGAAGAGTGACAGAATTCATTGTTTATGGGTCACACTACCGCATCGGTTATCCCAGAGCCAGAGACCGGCCATGGATTGATTGCCTTGTGTAGCTTGTCCATAGGAATTCGCAATGCTGCCTAAATGCTTTTTCACCACACATTAGCGCGTGACATTGCTCCTTGTCATTGATGTTTATGAAACGCGTATCTAGCATGCAGGGCACGGGTTGACTGACTCATGGCCTCATGACAGGGACCATAAGAAATGAAGCTAGCACTTATTCGAATTAGTTGCGCAACGAGATGCGAAGATTCTTGTACCCTGCCCGAACGCGTCTACTTAGGTTCCTGCTGAGGTTAAATCAAACCTCGGGCTCTCACGACGTGGACATGGGACAATCTTGCGCCAGGCTGTTCACCAACTAATGAGGTCGCTTAACTCAGTTGGTTAGAGTGCCGTACTAATACATACATCATATGTGTCTAGTAATGCGGACGTCGCCAGTTCGATCCTGGTAGTGACCAGGTTGTCTTCTTTTGCTTTTTGTCGCTATGCGATTGTGGGTATTATGCTTGTTCTTGTACGTGAATCACGAGTCAATCTAGTATCAACTTGTCATTGTTAGTCATTGTTATGTGAAACTACCTCACCCATAGCTAGCCAACAAAGATTTTGCTTGGACTTGTTACTGTAACGTTGCCCTTGACTTCGAGGGCACGATTATAATCTCATTTCTGGCTTCAGGCTCGTTGACTAAATAAGTTCCACACCTCTCCTGCATACCAACAGCCAATTTCAAACGAATAAGGTTCTCCCTATTAATCCAGACCGCAATCTCCTCGCTATTTTTCAACACCTTGGCGAAATATCTCTTGCTAGGTTCCAATCCGATAATATTCTTCACGCGACAATGACGTGGGAAAACTCTCATACAACCGATCTTGCAGTGCGCTGCAGCTCTGCTTTACAGATTTTGCAAGATGTTCTCAAGAGTAAGTATGAGTCTAGCCTGAGAGATGCACTAGTTGCTCACTTGCTTACAATCATCCAGACAGAGATGCAATCTCAAAGAAAGATCTCGAAGAAGCCCACGGGCTGGTAATCTTCGACGTTAAAGGCATCGCTGTAGGTACTGGATTCGCCCATGGCTCCGGACTTGTGATGGCTCGTCATGCGAAGGGGGATTGGTCATTGCCCTCTTCTGTCTCCCGGACGTACGTTGGCGCAGGGCCTTCGTTAGGTGCTAATTTGTACAGCTCGGCTCGGGTACTGAATAAAGAAGCATTCGAAAAATGCTTCATCGAGCAAAGATGGGAATATGGAATGAATCTCTCGGCTGCTGCTGGCCCTTTTGGTGCAAATGTTGACGTTAAAGGTCAGAGCCTTATTCAACATCCCACAAGGTCGAAGGGCGCGTACTTTGGTGTGACCTTTGGAGGCACCCTCTTCGAAGAGAACAAGGAACTGAATGCCAAGTTTTATGGGAAAGAGATATCTGCACGAGAAATCCTCACTGGGAAAATTCAAGTTTCTGAGGCGTGCAAGAACGAGGTGAGAAGTCTTTGGGACTTTTTGACCTCATTGGAGAAGCAGATCGAGAATGAGCCTGTTCAATAGGGACGACTCTTCTTGTTGTGCCTTTTAATGTTATAGAAAAACAAAAAAGCCAGTATCTCATTCCACCTCCAGGCCTCTCATTTTGATATTTGATTTAGTTCTGTGATGACTCTCTACGTGATTGCTTAGAAATCAAGCCCGAGTTGCTTTGAATCCCCCATTTGATTTCAACGCTCCTGCATGAAGAGAAGAGATATATCGCCATCTCATCTCTGCTAGAATCTTTACCGCTTTTTCTCATACTCAAGTAAGGTTCGCTTATTGTTGCCCGGTGATAGGGCTCTATAGGGCTAGTAGCAATCAATGTTCTGGGCGAATAGAGGACCTTTTGGCTCGCGTGACTCCTTTGACGAACTCTAATTCCCGTTATCAATTCACATTTGCAGTTCCCCGTCCGCCTCACTCAATAATAATTAATTCTTACTTTCTAAGGAGAGACTAGCATTTAGAACCTGCACTCAGTTACATATTTCAGACTCGTTAAGCGGATGAATCTTTCGAAATAGGATACGGTATTCGGAGAGCCCTGGGCATATAACCAACGTCTTCGTGTAGACACTGAGCGAAGCCTTACTAGTCCTTTTACGCCGCATAAGTGGGAAGTATCATGCCAGCCACATAAGCTATCTACTAGAAGCGACGGGTTATTTAAAGTCCACGATCCGTCAAAATATCCAAATTAATGCAAGAAACCACCGACGAAAATCTGCAAGCACCCGCCCTCTATGATGTGGCCTAGCACGATGGTGGTTGTACCACCCCGCAGCTATGACTCCGAGGAACCCAGTCCACCCCAATATACCTGCCTCAAAGTAGCTGATCGAGAAGCTGCCGCCGTCGAGGATGCTTGGGAAGCAATGGCCCCTCGAAAGTGGCAGAAAGTTCGGTTCTTCAACTTGGAGTTTACTTGTGCACCTAAAGCCTTCCACAAAAACAAAAACTTCATACGGCGGACATTGAGAGACCGCAAAACTCAACCCTATTGGAAAGCCAAGCTTTTTGTCAAAGCCAAGAATATTCCTCGTCTGATGCGGCAAGGGTTCCACCTCTCAGTGGCAGACCTGATCCCAGGATCCGGCGAGGTTCACTTTTATGATGAAGAGAGGGCAAAAGAAGTAGGTTTTGACCCTTCCTGGGGACACAGACGGTGTTATTATTTTAAGGATACTTCTGGCGACCCAGAGTGGACAGCTACTCTCGAGGTGTTTGCCAAATCCTACTTTACTGTTATGAGTTTCAGGCTCGGGTGGATAACACCAGACACCGTCTTTATGGCCTCTGCATTCCGCTGGGATGAGAAACAAGTCTATCAAGCCTGTACATCACGCAGCAGCCACAGCTTCAATACTCTCTTCGATGAAATGCCGACTGGTGGATGGTGGCCGGCGCCAAAAGACATGCAAAACCAAAGGGAGCCGCGATTCCTGAGGTTGAGCGACTGGGTACGAACTATAACACGACCAAAAGACAGCCAATCTACTGCATAGCAAGTAGGAGTGTGTCTCCTTACATTCATTTTATCGGAGATTCCTCGAACTTTTTCGTGCAAACAAATCTGGCAAAGTGTCACCCCAAAATTGCAAACCGAATTATTTACAGAATTCATTTTGGCTTCGCCTCATGAGAGGTTACTAAACCCAGCAACCACGACGGCGTACGAACGAATTTCGACACACTGGCAAAGCAATGAACCAGTAATACAAAGAGAAACAAGTTAAATATCGCAGTATAGTCTATAATTTCACCACCATATGATTAGTATCGTTTATCAGAAAATAAGGTCTCTCCCTTACGTGAAAAGACTTCCAGGGTGCCATGCTTTATCTTAAGCGCTTGCCAGGTCGCTAAAATGCGGCGCTGCCGAGGAACAATTCTAGCGGCCTCATGCAGTTTAATATGTACGCACTACCCGTAATAACTGTTGGCAGCTGCTATGTATACGGCCCGAGCTGTTTGATCCCCACTGCCCCAGCTCTAGTTCAGCTCTATTAAAGCCAGGGGTGCTGTCTAGTCAGTTTGTGGATTTGTCAGGAGGCTGAGCAACCGTGGAATGTTTTAGTTCAGAGGCAAAGCTGTAGAGATCTCGTAGCCGGTCGCGAAAATGTGTATCTTCTCCAAATCAATCGAGATAATTGGTATAAACTCATGGACGAGGATTTCTTATCGACGGAAGAAAATCTTTTCTGGTTCTCGGCTGAGATGTCCCCTCTTGTGCTTCCAATATTCAATTCAATAGCGGTGGCGGTTGCGGATCCCTCAGCTTGGATGAGACTGAACTATCGAATTTGTAACCCATGTTGCCAATACTAAGACCTGGCTCTGGACCTGACTAGCCAACGCATAATGACAAGAATGTTCGGGACTGAGGGATGTGCCCAGAGAACCGGCAGAGTTGGCTTCTAGTTAGTTCCGATCCTTTTTATCATTAAGTGAAGGGCGCCGCCTCCTGCGGCTTGACTCTAGTGATCACACCACGATCTTGTTTGACTTGTAAAGCAAGCCACCTTGAGCTTCGGCCCAATTACACTCTTTTTTGTTTTTAAGCTATGTGGTCTAAAGTCGCTCTTACGGCATTTGCCTTGGTTGGCTCGCTCGATCTGACAGCAGCCAAATGTAACAAAGCGACTACCGGTTTGCCATCGTCGGTAACCACACCAGGAGGATATACTGGCACATCAACCGGAGGTCCCTCAACCATAACCAGCGGTACGCTCCAACCGCGAGGTGTGCGAAATCTGATCCGAAACGGCAATTTTGTTGCCTACGACCCCAGTACCCCTGGAGGCTTGTACGGATACGAAGTCGATGGAGACGGAGAAGCTCGCCAGGTTTCTGGCTTGGGATACACTGGCGATGGAAGTGAGGAAAGTGCCTGCGCTTACTTGACCGTCGGCCAACCCAAGGACAGCACGACAAACGGGATTGACGCGCGCGATGTCATCCCAGATCAAAGCGTCAGCATTAAACAGGAGCTCCAGAGCACCGATCGGGAGAGCGTCTACACTATGCGCGTTTGGTACTATGTCGACATGAATGAGAAGGCCAACACCTGCAAGCTGATTGCCACCTATGACAATGGGGTCTTGGTAGAGTCCGACTATTTCCCCGTTGTTGCCGCCAACTCTGGAAGCTTCAGCTGGACTGCGTTGGTCCAGGAGAGTCCTCTGATCTCCGAGAGTGGCTACCTCAAATTTGAGGTCAGATGTTCCGATGGTGGCTCGGCTGCAGTTCGCTTCGACCAAGTGTTCTTCACCAACGAAGTCAGTCTTAGCGATTTAGATGACATCACGGTCATCTACTCTGCTTTCGCCGATGCGTCGACAGCTCCGCCTAGCCTGAGCTCTACTGCGCCTATCGTCGCCTCTACTACAAGCAGTGTGACTTTGTCTTCGGCGGCACAGAGCCCAGCCGCATCCAGCCCCGGTACAAGCGCAACTGTCAGCGACAACGGGACAACCAGTGGTTCATTGACAGGAGTTGCGTCTACAACGACTGGAGCCGGTTCGAATGGCGCTACCACGACTTCATCCAGCGCTGCTGCATCCTCCACCAGCTTTGGCGACAATATTTGCGCTACTTTGGGCAGCGCCTCCATCACCGGCAGAGGCTGTGCCAGACGGCCATACTCTGGATCGTCTGGCTACAAGCAGTACACCAGCGATGGCACAAAAGAGCAGTGTGCCGCCCTTTGCCTCAAGGATCCTCGCTGCCTATCCTTCCAGTGGAACACTAAGAGCATCGGCTGTGTCAATGGCTGCTACCTCCTTGAGACTTCACTTGCCGACAACTCGGCTAACAACGGCGGAAGTGACTCCAACTGGGCGTACGATCGATCTTGCATTGCTCAGACGCAGTGCCCGACCACAGTGCCAGACAACACCGTCTGTGTCAACGTCGAGGGAAGCACCCCGGGCGCGGGCTGCACGAGCAACCTCAACGGACAGCCGAGAGCTTGCGCATCACCCTTTATCACGACCAGCGTGAGCCCCATCTGCGGTTCCAGCGCCTGCCGCGACGTTTGCCACCAGTATCCTTCTTGCAAGTCGTTCTCATACTCAGTCACCGGCGGTCAAAACTGCAAACTATACTCGGACACCGCTTCAACTGTTGCGACGTCAGACGGTGCCAACTATCTCACATTCTTTACCGATCGTAGCTGCAACGCCTGCGGAAGTGGGATGGCTCAGTTTAAGAATGTGGCCACGCTCGCAGACCCTGCCAACATGCCCGTTCTGACTTGCCCGGCTCCATCTTCTACCGCTGCTGTCACTTCTTCCTCGCTGTCGACCTCTTCTTCGTCCTCTTCTTCTGTCGTTTCGACATCGGCTGCTTCTACTACGCTCTCTGCATCAACCACGACAGCAGCACCGTCAGCAACCACAACCGCTGCGACTATGGACGCCTGCCCTGGAGGACAGAGCTGCACAGCCAACCTTCTCGTCCCAGCCAATGTGTACTGTAAGAGAGCTGGCCAATTCAATTTGGACATTGGTGCCTGGCTTCCTGATTCGGTCAAGTTCCCTGGCAAGGCAACATCGCCTGAACAGTGTGCCTCCATTTGTTCTCAGACCAAGAATTGCAACTCATCCTCCTTTTCGCCTTTTCAAGGCATGTGCTTCCTCATTTCCGAGACCCTTGCACAGGGACAATTCGTACCCCAGGACGCAAGCAGCACTTCCGAGCTCTGGAGTGACAATGCATGCTTCACCTGTTCACAATGCGAGAATAACTCTAGCACGGCGCAACTGACAACAACGACTGCGACACCCTCTACGACACCCTCTGTGACACCCTCTGTGACTACGACTGCTCCTTCAAGTACATTGCCAGACACAACTTCGACTCCCACGCTCCCTACACCCACAACCTTTGATACAAGAACCACGCCAGCTTCTTCAAGCACAGATCAAATCTCCCCCTCATCAACTGACCCGGTCATTACTCCTTATCCCCAATCGACTGACACTTCTACCGCACCCACCACGACCACTTCGGCCCCTGCAGCTGCCCAGACGTGCGCAGCACCAGTGGCAAGCCTTGGTGATGATAACACCTGCGGCATCCCTGCTGTTGGCGGCCAACAACTTCAGAGCGCCCGGCTTCAGAACTATGTGATCAAACCCGTCGGAAGCCTCGCAAACTGCGCCCTGGAATGTCTGGCCAGAGCAGATTGCTTGGGCTTCTCGTACACAAAGACGGATACGTCCTGTCGCCCTTACAGAGTCGATACGACCGGACTTGGTCTGACATATACGCCGGCTGAGACCACCAGGTTTTATGATAGGTCTTGCTTTACCTGCCCTGCCTAGATTTGAAGCACATGTATTGATAATAAATGGTATTATGTAAATATTTTCATAGCTGTCAAAACAACTTATATAATTCTGAATAATCATTCACCTATCTTAATTAGATACACCCTCTCTCATTGTGACTTCTCTCTTTCCCTCACCATATGATCCGACTAAAAGGCTTGAACATTTGGGGGGTTAAAAGATGGAAAGAGGAGAAGGATCAGTCGTGATCTAGTATTACAAAGCTCGATATTAAAAGCTGCCTCAATCTAATTTCCATGAACTTGGTTACAATATAAAATAGCCTTGCAGCTCCCAATGTAATTCCCGCCAGACACAAGGGGCATCTAACTCAACACCCCCCACCTCTTCAATAATGTGTTGAAACTGCCAAGAAAATTCGGACTCTGCGGGATCGCTTCTGCCAGCGCGTTCTTTGCATGCGCCTTGGGAGGGTAGATCAGGTACTGGTTTATCTGCGTCTTGATCTGCTTGGCAACAGCGCCTGTAAACATGACCTGCCGCTCCCACCCGTTTGTAAGAACCGCCCCATATGCACCCAAGTCCAAGCAGGTCACGTAGTTGGGTTGGCTATACGGCACTGTTGGTTCGCCAACGAGGTCAGCCGCGGCGTTGTGCCCTGAGAATCGCCCAAGTATCTGGGCGTGTTGGCAGGACATCAAGGCGTAGTGGCCGCCGCTGTCTCCCGTAAGGGCACGGCAAGCATCCCCAGTGGCGAATACCCTTTTGCATGAGGGAACCCGCAGATCTTGATCAACGTGTAGGCGGCCCATGGCATCTCTGGGACCATCGATTTGTGCCGTCAGGGGCGTGGCCCCCATACCAGCCGTCCAAACAGCGGTCAAGGAAGGGATGTGTTCTCCGGAGGCAAGGGTAACACCGGTGGAATCAACGGCTTGCACTGCTGAACCAGATTTGACTTCAACCTGAAGACTGTCCAAGGCCTTTTCGATGGTAGGGCGTGGACCTGGGCCAAGCTCAGCGCCTACTTCGTCGGCACTGCTAACCAGGACAACCTTGGGCTCTGTCGCAGACTTGAAAACGGTTCTCAGTCGCGCTGGCAGCTCGGCGGCTAGCTCAATTCCTGTGAAGCCTGCACCGCAAATAACGACGGTGTCGCGGGCAGGGCTAGGTGGGAGCGATGGTAGCTCCTCGAGCCTAGATTCAAGCCTGGTCGCTCCCTCAAAGGTGTCAACATCGAAAGCGTATTCAGCCAGGCCAGAGACACTTTGAGGACGCAAGAGCTGACTCCCTGCCGCGAGGATCAAACGGTCATAGGAGACTCGTGAGCGGCTGCCTCCACTGGACAAAACCACGACCACATCCTTGTCGCTGTCAATGGTCTCGACGGTACCCTGCATGAAGCGGATTCCAGTGGCCTGGAATACTTCTTCCAGCGGAACTTTCATTCCTTTCGCATTCTGCTCGTACAGTCTTGGGCGGAGCACGAGTGAGGGTTCCGGGGCAATGACAAGGACTTCGACCTCATTCTCGGCATGAAGATTGAGGAGACGCTTGGCCCCAAGAGCACTCCAGAGGCCTGCAAAGCCAGAGCCAATGATTACAATTCGCTGTTGCATGATACTTGCGGAAGAGGGGGGTGAGTACACAGGATTGTGTGTGCTCTGTTAATGATGAATTGATGATGGGGAGCAAGGATAGTAGAGTCGATGACCTATATATGAATCCTCGGTGATTTAGCAGCCAACAATATACGAGAAATCCCGAGCACAGATATCCGTTGTCTCAGCCATGAAGTGCTGGACGTCATCGTATCTCGGGATCTAGCGGAGAAGCTTTTTCTGGTGCTTCAGCCCCAGATCGAACAAGCTTATTCATGAAGTACCGAAAGCGGAGCCAGAAGTCTCCTTTGAGCCATTTAGCGGTAAAGTGTCGCGAAAATCAGCTCGAGGAACATCAGTTACCCGGTTCGATACCAGCAATTGCCGCCTTCAAAGACGTCCGCCAAAGCATGTGGCAGTCAACTCTGGCCCCTCGTGGATGGAAATAGTTGCGCTCGTGATTATGCCATCACCGTAGCTTGCTCTTAATTTTCCCCTTCACAGAACTAGAGTGTGTTCTAGATCAGACCCGCCGGTGTATCAACACGACCGACGCCCAATATTCCTCCGCCGGTGCCCGAGTAGGCTCCCTTCTTCATCTTCATGTCTGAGCAGCACGCACGAGTTGCCCGCTCGTCGCTTGCCTGTCTTCCCTGCCGCTCCCGCCATCTGAAGTGCGACGGCAAACGGCCCTTCTGCAGTCGATGTGCCTCAGCAGGGAAGCCATGTCAATATGCCAGATCTCGACGCGGCGGTCTTGATCGTGCCGCTCTCGCAGCGCGTCGCGAGGCCCAATTGGCACAGAAAAGCAGCGCTACACCGGCATCCAGCCTGCCCCCTACCAGTACTAGTTCAGACACGATTTCAGTTTCATGCGTCCTGGAGAGTCCGCCTCTCACCGTAGATTTGGAAAGTCTTTCTTCCGATGTAGTTCTCGAGGCCAACCATGGCGAGGAAGCATTCGACATCGACCAAGACTGGCTTGAGAGCAGTACCCTCTCCCCAGCCGCATTGCCTTCGCCTCCAATTGACATCAACGGGGACCTGCTTCTTGAGGCGTATTACAATCGCTTTCATGTTTTCCATCCCTGTGTTCTTCCAAAGCGGGATCTTGAAAGGCTCTCCCACAATCCAGAAATACGTTCGAGGCTCGCACCAGTACTCGCCGTGATACGTATGATTGGCGCCGTCTATACCCGCTCTCCAGACCTCAATCAGCTGCGGGATCATCTTCATGACTGCCTTCTGAAAGCGAAGCCAAATGATCCCTTCATCGTTCAGGCGCGCCTGCTCTACTCGATTCCTCTGTACTGGCAAGGGGACAAAGTAAGCGCCCAGCAACAAATGGACTCTGCCATCAGCACTGCTCGCCAATTGGGAATGTTCCAAAGAGAATTTGCGACGGAGAATGGGTTCAGTGAGCCCGTTCTGGAGGAAAGCTGGAGGAGGACATGGTGGCAGCTGTACGTTGTGGATGGATTCTACGCCGGGACAACGAAAACAACGCCATTCGAGACCAAAGACATTGAGGCCACGGTCGAGCTACCCTGCCAGGAAAGCGAGTACGAGTCCGGTGTATGTTTCCCACACTGCCCACACTGCCCCTAATACTCATAGAGTAAGACTGACAAGTTCATTGTGCCAACTAGATAATTCCTCCATCAAAGACGCTGGAAGATTTCGATTCGAGGGAGTTCGCATTTGAGAAATACGATTACTCCTCATTTGCATACCTCATCGGCTCCGTACGCTGTGCGGCACTTGCTCTCGATGTCGTGACGAAAGGCCTTTCAAGCAACTCGGGCCCGGTTATCGTTGACTCTGCCGACTCGATCATTGAAGGATACCTGCTATTACTACCAGAAGAACGCAAGCAGGTCATTTCCAAAAGTGGGGAGATGGACGAGCTCATGTTTCAAGCCATCATGGCCATCAACGCGTACGTCACATCCGGTGCTCTACATGTAGAGGTAGCTAACAAGAGCGTTTAGGGCTATCATCGGCTTTCACCGACCGTTTTCAGATCTGCGTTTCAACCCTGTCGAATCAGTATCAAGTTGTTCGACGGACCCTCCAAGCAATACATCAAGCTCCGAGTTAGTGAACATCCACACGGTACGGAGTCTTCAAGCCATCCAGTCACAGGTCCGTCTCCTCGCCTTGCCTGTGCGGCCGTTTTGTCATACGCCCTTCGTTACCTGCATGATGTCCGTAGGGACACTAGGCCTACTATCCGCATGCAAATTTCTCTACAAAGGCCAAGAATTGGCGGTCGCGCGAGATCGGATCCGCATGGCCATTGGATGTCTGAGGGCAATTGGAGATTTCTGGCCGCAGACGGCAAGGAATCTGCAGGAAATACAGACAATAGCTCGGGATGTCTTGGGGATAGGCCCAAAGGTGATACCAGGAGTGCAGCAGCCCGGAAAGGAGAAATCTCCCAGTATCAACGAGGGAATGCCAGATCTGGCCAAACCACTCGCGGATCTAACGAGCGGCTTCACTCCCTGGGATACATTGGAAGAATTGGAACCAGACATGTGTCTGTGGTTTAATTTGGGTATGGCCGACAAGTAGAGGGTTTAAGAATAGATTCATATCGGCGTAAAGGTGAACGCAAAAAATTATCGGGTGAGCGTCAAACTCATTCATGAATCATGATGAGGGAATGCAAAAATGAAATGGTACCTTGCCCCGTACTGGAATCGAACCAGTGATCTTATCATTACTAGTGATACGCTTTACCACTGAGCCAACGGGGCTTCTTAGGTGGCAAAAACGGCTCTGATTTAGCACCAAGAAATTGGTCTGTTTTTTTAGTTACCCTAAACCGTACCATAAAATTCCCATCATTTCGCCGCAAGGTGTTCAATTCGGCATTTTACGGCTCTGAAAAAACTGGTCTTAGGTCTTTTCGTGATCTGAATTCCTGTAGTTTGTTTTTTCTAGGGCCTATTTGGTGATGGAATCGTGGATGAATGTTCTGGCACAAGGATGGTTGTGCTGTTGACTCTGTCATTCAAATCCTCTCTTTGTAATCACAAACACCAAGCACCTGTTTCTAGAAAACCAAACCAGACACCCATTATTTTCATGTTTAATCAGCTCACTCATAGGTTACACTCATCTTGGATCTCGTATTAGGCATGTTACCACAAAATGCAGCTAATCCTGTAGCAAATCTCAGCCCCAAGCGGCGCCTTTGACGCACCGATCTACAGACGATGATACTAAGAAAGTACCTAATTATCGAGATAAAGATGATAGATGTATCTCGAATGATTTCACTAAACTTTGCGTGCTTGCGTGCCAAAGATCAGTGCGTGTGGTGGGTTGGCCATAATGGTGGCATTGTGGACAAACCTCACCGACAGACTCAAGTCGCCTGCTTGTCTCACCTATTACGCAGGTGGCTGCAGAAGAGGGCCCAGAACCATTCCTTTTCCTGCATATCCTGCATTTGTCGCACATCCCAAAGCATTAGCCCACCTATCAGATTGAGATGTCCAGCACCTGCATAATTTTCTTTGCTTTTTGAGTCTTCTTGAAACTTGATTTCCTGCTCAACCACCCACCCCTATCCACTTCTGTCTAAGAATTGAAAACTAGCTGATGAAGCGATGTTACTTCGGCCCTCCTTATTCACGGCCTCGAATCGTCCTTTTCGTCATATGCGTGGAAGCTAAATGCTAGAAAAAAAGCTCGCCAGGTTATTCAAGAGAGCCAGACAAAGGGGTCATTAAGCAGGCGACAATAGACAATAGCTGGATCAATGGTCGAGAACCATACATCGTAGGGTCCAGCTGTACATATTCTATCTACTTTTATCGGTTATTTTAGCCAGTTTTACAGTTTCTATTTCCAATGTGAGAGTGCTGGGTGCGACACAACACATGCAGGGTCATGCAATGCGGCCGAAAGATGTTAGACACGGCTTGCGCCACGTTGCAACGGCTTGGGAGATCTTTTGCTTGCTCGTATTTCTCTCCTATTTTTCGTAGATAGAGCTAGTATAAAGTTGCTCGAGGCCCATACGGCGACCCCCGCGGTTTGCTCTTGTCAAGCACCTGGAACCGCGGCAATGGACAACAAACCACCACTCCCTGCCAACGTGGCGCCGATTACGGCCCCGGATATCCTATCTCCCGAGCAATGGGAGGTCCTGTTGTCAATCTGCGACACTATTATACCATCAATTGAACATGATGATCGTGGCCCTTCCCACAGCTCGTCGCCCGATGCCAGCGACGACGACAAGGCATCTTTAATCAAAGCCTACTATCATGAGAGCGCTTCCGAAATCCCAGAGCTGCGAGACTTGCTGAAAAGACTTTTCAACATTGTCCTTAATCCTACCGAGAGAGCCCAATTTTCTCGGATGCTCACTCTTCTGAGGTTCGTTCTCCCGCACCACTTTCTCACTTGATGAGTAGTGGTACTCACATCGATGTCGGTAGCTACTCTGCCGCCTCGTTATTACTCACAGGCCGAGTTACAGTATTCTCCAAACAGCCGCTGTCTATCCGACAAGAGATCTTGGAGGGCTGGGCACAATCCCGCCTCCCCCAAATTCGACTCTTCCAGCGAACTATGGCGTTGGTCACCAAGAGTCTGTGGGTTCGAACCAGCCCCAACCTCCGCCCGCTTATCGGACTGCCACGGGTACCCATTGATGGCAAGGTTGGGGAAGGGTTCGATTTCAACTTCATACAGATACCGCCTGGCTCCGAGCCAGCGGTGATCGAGACCGACGTAGTCATCGTCGGCAGCGGCTGTGGCGGCGGAGTCTGTGCAAAGGAGCTCGCAGAAGCTGGGTTCAATGTGATAGTGGTTGAAAAGGGCCACTACTGGCCCCCCAAGTATCTGCCCATGGACGATATCCAAGGTCCATGCCAGCTTTTCATGAACGAGGGCCAGATTATTTGTTCGTGAACCCCCCTGTTTCTTCCAAAAGGCAATGCCACTCAAGTTCCCTTGCTAACCCATTCTCTAGCGGATGATGGCTCAGTCGTCGCTTTGGCCGGCTCAACCTGGGGAGGGGGGGGCGCCATCAACTGGAGTGCCTCATGGCCAGTGCAACCTTATGTTCGGCAGCAATGGGCTGATACGGGCTTGCCTCTTTTCACCTCTGAAAAGTTCCAGGAATCAGTGGATCGAGTGTGCGCCACAATGGGCGTCTCTACTGATCACATCAAGCATAACAAACCGAACCTCAAGCTTCTGGAGGGATGTAAGACCCTCGGCTGGAAGTGTTCTGCTTTAGGACAGAACACTGGTGGCCATGAACATAGCTGTGGTCATTGTCATAATGGCTGCCGGTCTGCTGAGAAGCAGGGTCCCGGAGTCGCATGGCTGCCCAAAGCCGCAGAGGCCGGAGCTCGGTTTATCGAAGGTCTGATGGTGAACAACATCGAGTTCGACGATACTGAAGGACAGAAAGTGGCCAAGGGGGTACGTGGAGTCTGGACCTCTCGTGACGAGCATGGGGGTGTAGCGGGCAAGCCAACCACAACACGAGAGGTGTTCATCAAAGCCGAGAGAGTCATTGTCTCGTGTGGTAGTCTGCAATCACCACTACTCTTGATGAGGTCGGGTCTAACCAACCCGCAGATTGGCAGGAACCTGTACTTGCACCCTGTCACTCTGGTCGGCGGCATCTATGAAGAAGAGATAAGGCCATGGGAGGGCTCGATTCTCACCACCGCATGTACCGAATTTGAAGACCTAGATGGTGAGGGCCACGGTGTCAAGGTAGAAGTCATGAACACACTGCCCAACACATGGTTGACCTGGTCTCCCTGGGAGAATGGCCAGCAGTTCAAGAAACTGGCTTCCCAAATGGACCACCTCGCCGGCTTTGTCATTGTTCACAGAGACAAGATTACAGGCAGAGTCTACCCTGATCCAGTGGATGGTCGCTGTCGCATAGAGTATAGTCCCTCGCCATCCGACAGGCAAATGATTCTACAGGGAATCATGCGAACGGCACAACTGTGCTATGAGACAGGAGCACAGGAGATCTTCACCATTGTTCCCGGATTCAAACCCTTCGTTCGGACAAGCGATACCACCAAAGATCAATTCGATGATTGGGCTCGCGGTATCCTCTCGCACGGATTACCAACTCCCCAGTCCTACTTTGGGTCCGCCCATCAAATGGGTACATGCAGAATGTCTACTTCTTCGGATAAAGGGGTGGTCGGACCTGAGGGCCAGGTTTGGGGGACAAAGGGTCTGTATGTTGCTGATGCCAGCGTCTTTCCCACTGCCAGCGGAGTTAACCCTTCTGTGACCACATACGCAATAGCAGACTTCATCGCCAGGTCAATCGTAACTGAAAGGAACCAGCCCGCCGAAAGGAAATAGTGGGAAGGTTTATTTAGGTTAGATAAAGTAAATTATGACTTTTATTCAATCCTAGCCTAGCAACAGATCTATAACGTCGGGTTCTTGCAGTTCCCATGCTGACTTCAGAACTCTCCCGACTCCTTTTCTGTAGGTGGTGAGTCCATTTCTTTCAACCCAAAGGACGTTCGTAGCCAGTGCACTATTGATTAAGGACTCAGAAACTGCTACGAGTTCAAGAGTTAGGTCACTAGCCGAAGAAGTGGGCATTGGAACGCAATGAGTGATAGCCCCTACTCCATCATCAGCTACCCCCTTCAGGTATATAACTGGAGCGGAATCCATATCCATAGCTGCAAAAACGGCACGTTGTACGCGTGCATAAAGAAGATGAGGCAACCAATCGTCCTCCACGACTGGGGGATTCAGCACAGTTGCGCCCCCTTGGCTCCGTTGGCTTGAGATAGGTTCCCAAGCGGTAGTATTGTTTTCTCTATACCACCAATCTGCGAGCGGGAGAATATCATTCTCTGGAAATCCTATAGACCCAGACCACGCTGCCCAGCTCCAAGTCGGAGGCATCGCCGTCCCAGGAGTCGGATGGGCAGGCTTCCGCAGCTCCACGGGGATTTGATTGTACCAGAGAAGGGTGGTATCAAAAAACACTCGCGGCAGGCCACAGATGAATCCACCAACGAATATTCCACTCAATGCTCCAAGGATTCCTGAGAAAGCGTCCAGTGCATCCTCAGGGTATGTTAGCACACGCCGGTTATATTCGGTAACATGTTTCGAATATTCTTTCATGTTCGCTTCCGGACTAAAAGAAAGACCAGGAACAACCTGACGTTTCTTCTTGCACTGCCCCTGAACTACCTCCAGGCCTTCGAACCAAACAGCACAGTGGCATTCCCAAGTGATGCGGGCCTCGCTCAAGACAAGCAGTCTTCGTGAGAAGATCTGCTCTTGAAACGTCCATGCCCTCCGGTTCCACATAGACCTTGAGATGTATCCATGAGCAGCCTTTATCTCTTCAGAGGCGGCCTTCGGGGCTACTAAATATAAGGGGGTTTTATTAGGCCTCTCCATTGGCGGTGTGATATTCTCGATACCATGTAGACCGGTATAGGAATTGCCTCCCGCTGCCACGATGGTTACATACGCGTTTGCGTAGATGGATCCCATATGGCCCAACTCCTCCGACTTTTCATTTCCATCGTCTTGGATTATACAGAGCGAGTCTATCCACAGATATCTCTCACCAAGCCTTCTAACAAGTTCGAGAACGTGTTGAATTGTTGGAGGTAGTGACTCTGACACCACGCTATTTGCCGTGCCGGTGGCGTGCCTGAGAAGGTTTTTGGGATTCAGAGATGGTTTCGTTGACTCGTCCTTGGCTTCGCGGGAGTCTCCAATAAGTAGCAAGTCCAGGTTATGTTTCAAAGACTGAAGGGAACTACCGGTCCCCCAAACGTAGCTCAGAGCAACATACCGATGGTGAGGTTCGGCTGGTATGATACACATGTGCTCCAAATCGACCAAGCGTTTTGGGCGATGGGGAAAGATCTTTTTACTTGCAGCCTGGGGCCCACAATGGTCGGCATGTTGTGCATCACACTGGTCAATCCATTGACGAAGCTCAGTGGGCTGTATCCAGTCTGTTAGATGACGATTTACGAGCAAGGCGTTCCGTATGTGCTCTATCTGATCCTTCCAGGGTCCATGTTGAATTCCCCAGGTATCAATGTACAGCATGGGGGGAGCGCCGGGAGAACTGTGAGCGTTTCTACACCAGCCAAGTTTAGATAAGAAATCAGAGAGCCATTAAACACTAGGTACGCTTTCCAGTCATGAACTCACTCGCTAAGTGTTCTCTCAGTTCTTATTTCGCCGTACAAACACCTATCTGCATTGTACATGATATCCTTCATATCCTGATGACTGAGATGGAATTCTGACGGCCCCTTTTCGTCCGTTGTGTTGAGGGGGTGCATGGGTATTGATTGCAGCTTGTTCTCGAGATCAACAAGAAAGAGCTTCAGACTTGGGTTGTAACTTCGATGAGTCCCCATTAGACTGCACTTTCTACCAATCTCGGCCAGTAATGCCTCGAGCACCCTGGCATATTGTTTCTCCGCAGGCGTCGTGCGTCGCAAGGCTTCGCATAATCCGAGCACGCGAGCATGCAGCTCGGTCAGAGCGCGGTGCTCGTCCTCCATGTTGCAGGCATCAGAAGACGACATTAGAAATATGGACCCAGTACTCTGTAGTCAAAGAATAGCGACTAAAGGACCTCTTCGTGTCCGTAGCTGTGCTTGTTTGGATGCGCGAATACCCGCTGGAGGCTGATCTGGGGTGCGGGACTTTTCTCTTGGCTTGCGGGGCAGATTCCACTGCCTATTCAAGACTAACAAACGAAAAGATTGAGTATTCTCACGATTCGGATGCGATTTATACGAGATTCGTCAGCATCATGCTCTAACCCGATTTTTGTACCCTGAGATGACTGGATTGCTCTGGGAATGATTTGATATGACTTTTGGTGATGAGCAACCAAATGCGCAAGATCGAAACCGTATCCAGCCTTTCGTTTCCCTTCCGTATGCTACGGAACAAGCAATGAAGGATGAAACACCAAGTTGTAGCTCAGAGCCTTTGTCCTCTTAGGGATACCGGTCAGTGTTGTCTATTTGTGAGATTGTTGATGCGTAGTTGTTCCCATCATTGTGCACGAACTTCTTCCTTCCCCGAGGCCTGAGCCATATCTTTCCCCTATTTTAGACGCATCTCTGCATACATGAATATCTGCTTTTTGACCTTGTTGAATGAGAAATAGATTGAAAACGTACGAGTTCCAGGATACTGGCTATCCTTGGGCTTCAAATCTGGTAACGAGGCCCGGTTTTTACGTCCTTAAGCATAATTCCCTTGCGGCTACCATGCGAACCGTGTGATTGTCCTTTCCTCATTCAAAGACATTCAAAGAGATTGGACATGGATCAAACTAATTTAACACAGATTTGGGAACAAAATGGAAGCACCAGAAAAAGCAAACAACGGAAGACGTGCCGGGGCCATCGTAAGTGGAAGCTCGTCTGACGAGCGAGCGCGCGGGTACATCTCATATCGGAAAGACGGATGTAAAGGATGAACAGTCTGCTCCTTCTATCGGGTTAGGGCCGGTCCGAGCTGCCCGTTGGGAGGATTTTCTAAGCTCGCTATTGGAACGACCACGCGATGCATATCATGCCATGGGGTTCTTGGTTCTTGTGAATCTAGAGCCCAATAATGCATGAGACTGGCCTCTTGCGTGCTCGTGAAGGGTGAGGCGTTTTCACGCGCTCGGCAGTGGCGTTCCGGAGTCCCTGCAGTTTTTCTGTTACATGACGCATGTCCGATCCATTTCTGATGGATCCTGCATGTCATCGTTTTCTGTGCGGGTGAACTGGTTCATGTCGTTCCTGGGGTCTGGTTCTATCGTCCGCTTCTTACCCCACGGGCTAACTCGACGGCCGTTGCCTGATATCAATCCGGGGCAAATTGAAAGTTGGAAAGAATCCCAATGTCTTCAGGACAAGAGGTCGAGTTATCTGATGTTTCCAACGGTGCATTTGTCATGTTGGGTGGTGGGTACGGACGGATCTCCATCGTGCGTTTGAGCTATGTTAGGCCGCGAGCACGCAAGACCCGACAACGATCTCACCATCGCCATACTGCTTCAGCTAACCGGGACTGCAGCGACAGGCCGTCTAACTCCGGGAAATGAACCATGCTACCTTTCACAGTATATGGGCTATCTGCTCAATTAATGGGTCAAATAGACATAGATACGCTGATTTGTGAGGTGGCAGCAACTGACGTGATAGCTATGGCCGATGAGCGCATTTACCAGGGACTGGACGAAGATGCAGCCCGAGCAAAGCCCGCGTGAGGATAAATATATTCATGCATTCATCCCACTGTAAGCAACCAGATTGGTACGTGCCACACGCCACAGACCAACACAATGGCCAGTCCTCCAGAGACAAAAGTAAAGACGGCTGAGGCCAACCGCGAGGTTTCGGACACCGAGGCAAGCTCTGGATACGAAGAGGAGATTCACACTGAGCCCATCAAAACATGGAAAGGTCAAATCTGGGATACTCTGGAGCTTCCGCCCGCTCAGCGCAAACTGCTCGGTAAGGTCGACGCTGTCGTTTTGACCTTTGCCTCTCTCGGTTATTTCCTCAAATATCTTGATCAAAACAACATCAACAATGCATTCCTCAGTGGTATGAAGGAAGAGCTGAACATGTACGGAAATGAGCTCGTTACAAGTAAGCACCTCTAAAACCCGAATTTCTAACTTGGGCATGGGTTTTAACAACCGGGGTAACAGGCACATCCATTTGGACTGTCGGATATGTCATTGGTCAAATCCCCATCAACCTGCTTCTGACTCGAGTCTCCCCTCGCTGGGTTATTCCATCGCTTGAAGTAGGCTGGGGTATCGCAACTTTCGCCACGTCGTCGGTGAAATCTTACCAGGCACTCTACGCATTGAGATTTCTGGTCGGCTTTTTCGAGTAGGACAAGACCACCTGCTCTTATCTCAAGCAACTGCTAACCCGCTGTGCAGATCAGGCTTCTACCCTGGCATGCACTACTTGCTCGGCTCTTGGTACACGCCCCGTGAGATTGGCAAGCGCGGCATGATCTTCTGGCTATTTGGCACCGTCGGCACAATGTTCAGCGGCTTTTTACAGTCTGCTGCCTATACAAATCTCAACGGTGTTGCAGGGCGATCCGGATGTAAGTCAAAGAAGTGGGACATGTGACATCTTGGTCCTGCGATGCTAACGTCTTTCTCTTTTTTAATAGGGCGATGGCTTTTCATCATCGACGGAATCATCACAATTCCGGTCGCCGTTGCTGGCTGGATCTTCTTCCCTAATCTTCCTCAAGATAACAAGAAGACATGGTGGTTGACCGACTCGGAACAAGTTCTCGCGAAGAGAAGGATGGCGGCCGTCGGTCGAGCG